AATCAGTTGTTTTAATTGTCATATTTGAATTCAGCACATCAAAATACATAATAAATAGCACATTTTATCTCTGAAGCAGATGACTTCTCAAAAATTGTAGACCATTGTTTTAAGCTTTATTGTGATAAGTCAAAAGTAGAGTTGAACAAATAATTCTAATAGTTTATCTGAGCTTCTGGCTTCTCTTTCTGTGGGGTACATAAATCATGATTTTGTTACTTTAAAAAAATTGATTCATCACATTCTTCTGTGAATTTTATTAACTGTTGGGTGATCGCCAACAGCCCTCTGAAAGTTTTCTGTGATCAAACAGTGTTGATTAGTTAAGATTGGCCAGATAAATCACATGGTATTATTTCTGTTCTGGCTGTGCACACAAGCAATTCCAACCCAACCACTCGCATGTGTGAATTTAAAGACGTTTACATGAATACAAGAGTACTGAGTATTTAATACGGCATCAGTCCTCAATATGTGCAGTTATAGCTCCTTCTAGAAGCGACTTAAAAATATTCCCAGATTCAAACAAACAAAATTCTATCATCCCAACTGAATGCTCAGAATTCCTACTACAGCAATGTTGGTATTAATTTCTGGTGCAAATAATGATCACGTCCACAGTGACAAGTATGTCAAAATCTGGAAAAGGAATGGTGCAGCAGATGTGGAATGTCAGCAACGTTGTTGGATACATAATTAATTAGTGGGGTAATGAGAACATTTTTGGGGGCTCAGAGGCCTACACAGATTAGTAAACTGAGAGGTCTGTCTGTCTGTCTACTTCTCCAACCTACTTGATTTTGTCAGGTTCTCTCACTGTCTTTATTTGAACAAGGATTTCTAAAGCAAACAATTAAATGATCACATGAAATTCCATGGGATACACATTAATGCATGTGAAGATAATAAAAGCTAAAAAGTGCCTGTAAAATTCTGCCCTCTACCTGCATACTCAAAGCAAAAATTTTCTCGATATCAAAGAATTCTGCATACTTAACAAACTTTTATAGTATGCAATAGAGCTACGTAGTGGGAATCAGAGAAGAGAATGTTGTTCTAATGCTATGGGAATATTATACTTGCCTGAATTAACAGTTTTAATTTATTAAAATACAGTATCTAGATTTTTTTTACTATATTGATGCTTTGATTTGTCTTGTTAAATTCACAGAGAATAGTCCCTCATTTGATATAAACCACTCTACATTACAGTATATAGGCAGGGCTAATAGCACACCCTATTATTAAGGTTGCCCAATACTCTCCATTATAAGACTCTCTTTTCAGTTGCCTATAGCTTTGTAAGACTTTAACTGTTTGGGCTGAAATTTTACATGCCAGATGTTTGCATCTGGCAGAGTTTTCTTTGAAAATTTTCAGCCAAAATTATTGAGAGATGTCCAAGAATGAGGCTAGGGAAAACTACATTGTTTTGCTCATGTAAAAAAATTTTGGTGACTTTTTCTTTGAAAAGCTCAAGTACCCCCATGCACTGGAGCAGGAAGTTGAAATGTAGCAGGGGATGACCTTTGTGGAAGAGCTATGTCTTTTGCCATCCCTGTGAAAATCCCCACCTCTATTTGGTCAACTTATAAGTAGGGCCCTGCCAAATATACAGTCCACTTTGGTCAATTTCACGTTCATAGGATTTTAAAATTAGTAAATTTCATGATTTCAGCTATTTAAATCTGAAATTTCACAGTGTTGTAATTTTAGGGGTCCTGACCCATAAAGGAGTTTTGTGTGTGTGTGTGTGTGTGGTCTGCAAGCTTATTGTAGGGGTGCTTGCAGTACTGCTACCCTTATCTGCGCTGCTGCTGGCAGCGGTGCTGCCTTCAGAGCTGGACAGCTGGAGAGCAGTGGCTGCTGACCGGGAGCCCCATTCTGAAGGCAGAGCCGCCGCCAGCAGCACCACAGAAGTAAGGATGGTATGGTACGGTATTGCCATCCTTACTTCTGCACTGCTACTGGCGAACCACTGCCTTCGGAGCTGGGTGCCCAGCTGACAGCTGCCGCTCTCCAGCCGCCCAGATCTGAGGGCAGCACAGAAGTAAGGGTGGCAATGCTGCAACCCCCCCAAAATAACCTTATGACCCCCCCCCCTGCAGCTCCCTTTTGGTCAGGACCCCCAATTTGAGAAATGTTGGTCTCCCCTGTGAAATCTGTATAGTACAGAGTAAAAGCACACAAAAGACCAGATTTCACAGTCCGTGACATGTTTTTTATGGCTGTGAATTTGGTAGGGCCCTACTTATCAGCCTTTGAAAAATCACAGTGTGCACATGCTCAGTAAAGACATCTTAGATTTTAACAGCTATATTCCCCAAAGATTCTGTCCATATGGCGCAGGACTTTCCTTGCAATTGCAGTTTTGGGCTGCTGCAGGCCATGCTTGGTCTGGGCACCTGGACTGGGAACATGGAGACTGCCTGTCCTGTGCTCTCCATGACACCCCCCCGCCCCCCCCCGCCAAGCTCAGGCAGCCTGGAGGAAGAAGCTGCTTGAGTCAAATGCAGAGGGGACAAGAGCCGGACATGGGTGGGTGGGGAATAGATTGAGACAAGGAGCCTGGGAAGGAGAGGGGGTGGAAGCTGGGACTGGAACTGAGAAAAATAGTATGTGTTAATGTAAATTAAAGACTGTATCATAATGCTTACACACATGGGGGATGAATTTAGGTTGCAAGGTAACTGTAATTTTGGCATTTCCTAACTTTTGCGTCCCTGACCTTGCAACCTAAATAATGTGTAATGGAGGGATTTTTGTGTGTAATTATTTAACTTCAGATGCTTTTACTGGTGCTTGAATGTCTAAGTTTTGACAGTTTGTGATTTTTATTTTGCTTTAGATTATAGGTTGCCAAGTCAGGAGAGAGCCATTGGATTCTACTGAACGATATACTCGTTGGATCAATAATCTGACACCTGGACAACTTCTTACACAGGTATTCTTGTTTCAATTGTGATTCAATCTGTGATGCTAAAGCAGTAGTCAGAGAGGCTTGTTTAGTTATGTTTTCCCATTCACTAATCATACTTGGTGCTGATCAGAGTTGTTCTTTGAGAAACTAAAGGAAAAAATACTTTTAAAAATCCACCAGATATTTGACTGAATGTAAATAATAGAAGTATATTATTAAATCTCTTTTAATATACCCATTTAAAGTATAATATTAGTGCCTGTCATTGGAAAAAATGCCTTTGGAGCGTATGGTTATTGCATAGTGATGACCTTACTCTTGAGAAGGTTGAAGCTATTTCACTTTTCCTTTCCAGTATGCTTCATATTTCTCGTATACACGGGGTAGTTACACTGTGGTTAACTTCATACCTTGTCATGTCCTAGTACTTAAATAAGGATTTTTTTTAGCAAACATATTTAAGTAAGAGAAAAAAATCCTCCATCCTGAGGAGATTTTAGTTGTAAACATTACACACTGATAATATAAATAATGTGTGTGTGTATATATATATGTATGTATATATTTAGTTAACTCTTGCTGGAGATATTTTTAAAATAGTATTTTTTTGAAGGCTTAAACACAGGTTGCATTATCCTTGTTTTTAAGTACGACGCATCTTGTGCAACTGAAGACAGCAGACTTGGCTTTAAAAGAGATTGTTTCATTAGGCGGGTGGCCAACACTGAACTAAAAGAGTCTTTGGCAAAAACAAGTTAAACTGTGGAAGAAATCAGTCCAGTCTGTAGAAGAATGTGTGTGCTGAGTATTATAAGAAGTCTAATGGGTGGTTAGCGAAAGATTGTCTTAGCGTGCATTAAAAAGCACATATTTTAGGCTTGGTTTTTGTGGTGTTATAGGAGGAAGACATTTGTTTTTAATTTTGCTAGGTTTAAATGGCTCAAGAGATGAATACACCCTTGTTTGTTAGATTTCATATTGTAAACTCAATTGCATTCCCCACTGCCATAACCCTAAAGACAGACATACAGCCTCTGGAGTGGTAAGCATAACACAAAGAGGAATCCATAGAGCTCCTTTAAGATCTGCAGTGGAAACAGTTGAAATGCACAATAACAGATAATCATAGGTTTGAAATATGAAACAGAGTATTTTATTCTGAAGGACAATAATTTTATTATAAAGAACTACGAAGTAAAGTGCCAATGGTATCATACATCAGCTTGCCTGAAAAAAAGATGCATGTGGATTGCTCAACTCTGTTTCGGAAGGGATGTGGTTATAGGGATCATTCATACATGTTTGGTGGTCCTGTCCTGCAATAATAAAATGTTAGTCTCAGATTGTTAATCAAGTAAAAATGGTAAAAGAAAAACAGTTACCAATGGAATATTTGGTGTTGACGTTGGGTTTGGCAGTAGAAGAGGCTTATGGGTTGAGAAATACCGTATGCCTCTGACAGTTCAGCCACGGGATGCATGATCACAACACACAGTTGAAAATGATGGGGAAAAAGGCTCATGGCTTAAGGACTGATTCCACACCCATTGAAATCTTTCCATGAATTTTGGATTGAATCCTTAATGAATTGGTAAAAAAGTTAAGCCCACTGCAACAGCCTAAGGGGTGTATACAGTACCATCATTTTTTTTCAAAGTATGATTGTGCTGATAGATTTTGTAACTAGATGATGATTATTGAAAATTGTGTCAAATTTCTTTTTATCTCAGGCCCTGATATCGCACCATTGACATGACTGAAATTTTTGCCATTGATTTCAATTAGAGTAGAATTAGGGCCTCAACATTTTCTCTCTTCGTATTGTTTTTACATTCGTTTATAAGTTGGAAAAAGAAATGGGAAAAGCAAGCCAGCTCTTTTCTAATATTCACAGTATGATTCTGTTATTTATTATGGGATTTAGTTTGTTATATATGCCTTGTCTGTTTTTTGTTTTTATTTTCTTTGAAAAAGTAAATAAACTTCAAGAAAATTATAGTTTCACTTCTGGGCCTTTAGTAAGAGATTTGTTGAATCTCTGAGATGAGCAATCCTTCAGGGAATTCAGGAAAATTGGCTTTAATTTACAGTATATTGTCTCCAGCGATTTCCTGTACTGAGGGGCTCTTTTCATCTGTGTCTGCGCTCAGTGCTCGCACTTTTCAGCTGTTTCCGCTACACTACTGTATTTTATGGAGATGAACTAATTGTGCCATATATTGGGAAATTAAACCACTGAACTGCAAAGTGGAGGTCCATGCTGTCACTACCATGTAGTTGTCTGTATAGCATTCATGATTTTGAAAAAACAAACTAACTTCCTCTTTGAAAGCAATTGCTTTATCTACTCCAGTACTCCACAATGATCTGAGTCCAGTTGCAAATAGATTGTAGATGTTTTATTAGGAGAATCTGACCCGGGTGGTTCAGATGAATGGTTTCTCCAGTCATGCTCATGATGAGAGAGTTGCAATTTTAATAGATTTGTTTTGTGATGGGAATTCTGAAATATGTTTATGAGCCATGCAAGCTTTGCCCATTAAAGAAATGAATCAAATAGCATTCTAAATTCATATGTTTATGTTAAAGGTCTGATTTTTAAACGGACAAAAGCCAAGGAATTCAAGATGCAAGCTGAAATTCAAACTTCACCTCTCTCTTGTGCATGAGTGTCAGCTGTTTTCATTTTGTATCATGTGAGTTAATCCCAGATTTCTGGGTTGAGTGCCCTCTCTTTTCAGTCTGATGGAGGCATTCGGTACAAAAATGCTTTTTCATTTTAATTTTTGTTTTCCCCTTTGTGATGTACTCTTGAGTCACTAAATATATCCCACAGTGCATCATTTTGTGACATTTCAAATACCATAAATGTCATTGAATCCCAATATACTTCATGGTATTTATAATGTCACAGAATATATGTTCTGGGCTACTTTCAGGGAACCAGAGAGTACCAAGAGAGCACAATCGATGGTGAAAAACACCTTTTAAAAGGTTAGTTAATATTTATTTCTTTGCTAATTGCCCCCACCGCCTCTTTAGTGGGGGTAGTCATCACAGAAATCTGGGATTAATTTAGTTTTCATTTCTATTTTTGTAGATCAGCATTTACTTCTGTTTAAAAGAGATTTGTACACTATTTTTAGTGTAATTTAAGGATGGACATGGTAATCAAGGGATTAAATAGTATACTGTAGATATGCATTTTCAGACACATTATTACATGGATTATAAACATTTATAGAAGGTTTTTGTAATGTTTCCTTCTGACCCAATAGATGCCAAGTTTTTAAACTGTTATGGCCATATATGTAATTGCCTCACACTAACAGCAACAGGACAAAACACACAAACAAATTAATATTAAAGGGACTTGGTTGTTTTAATATGCTGCTTTGGTAACCAGAAGAAATTGCAGATTAAAAAGAATCCTACGGGACCTCTAAATCTGATCCATTTATGAAATTTTGTTGCAGTCTGATCTGGAGGAACATAAACTGAAAACTTTACTGAACCTTATAAGTCAAAACACCTATCTGAGTGGTTTTTACTGTTAGTTTAAAGTATGCAAATAGTCTAAGTAGTTTTTAAAAGTTTGTTTTTGACTCTGAGCAATATAGTTTAACTCAAATCCAAGCCTGTTCAACAATTGCCCAGTTAGATCTGTGACAGAACAAGTTTTAGTGGCTCTATCTCTACATGGACCCTAACAGCTCAATATTGCTCTCTGGAACATAATGCATATGGATGCTTATTTTAGAAAATTCTTTCTGAGTTGGCTGGATTTAGAATCTTTTCAGAGATGACTCGTGGATTGTAACTTTTAACAGTATATTCATACCACACTCGTGGGTACAATTTAGTAGTTTTCTGATCTCTCTGGATCATCTGCCAGAGGGGAAGGATGTCGCACATTGGGATTCCTTAACGTGCAACTTTGTTCCATTAGAGCCAACTGCAGGATTCACCCAACAGGTTACTAAAGCTGCCAATCTGAATCCAGAAGCTTTTTGTGCATCATCCTGCTATAGATCCTAGGGAGTTCTGAATTACTGTTGAATAAAAGTCATAGTGTGACATATTTGTAATTAACTTTGATATTGGGTTGAATTAAAACATGGTGCCTTTATGTATTTAAGCCATTGTGTCTGTCTTAAATATGTTCTGGAGGCCAAGTAGTGGCTTTATTAATGATGAGGAATGATTGCAGGTATGTCTTTAGAGCCAGAATTGAAGCAAATGAGCTGAAAGCTTGAAAGAAAACATATAGCCATTCACAGTAGGTGTTGCTCATCATTGCTAGTAAAGACTGAAATGGGGCTGAGAAAGAGACTTTCTGATTGTAGATTAACAATGGTACTATTGTTGAAAATTAGACCACTGTGGACTTTCTCAGGAGAAGGTATACATGAAGCAGAAACGTTTAACATTGGCTTTCAGACAACTACTATGTTTGGTCAGCTAAGGTTTTGTTTGTTTTTATTTTGTTCCCCTCTGCCCTCTCCGTTCTCTGATGTATCCAAAAACTAAGTTTATAGTGAAGTCCTATGAGTTTTGGCCTGGGCAAATACAGCTGAAGTTACAAACTGTATGGTTAGAATGCATTGCATTAAACTGTCTGGGCCTAACTAAACATGTACAATAAAAGAAAATTATTTAGGGCATGGCTACACTTGTAGTTGTAGAGCGCTGTGAGTTAAACCCACCTTCAGAGACCACAGTAGGGAAAGCTCTGCGGTCTGTCCACACTGACAGCTGCTTGTGCACTGGCGTGGCCACATTTCTGGCACTTGCAGCGGCATTGGGAGCAGTGCATTATGGGCAGCTATCCCAGCATGCAAGTGACTGCAACGTGCTTTTCAAATGAGGGGGGTGGGGTGGAGTATGACAGGGAGTGTGTTGTGTGTATGTGGGGGGAGAGAGAATGGGCTTTGGGGGGGCTGAGAGCGTGTCAGCATGCTGTCTTGTAAATTCGGACAGCAGCAGACTCCCCCCTCCTCCCTGCCTCCCTCTCTCTCACACAG